ATTGTAAGTGATAGCGATTTTAATAGCTAACAATTCAAATGGCTAACAACAATGGCTAACAAGGCTAGAAATTCAACAATCTAACTTCTAGATCGTAAAATGTGGGTTGTTTTGATGTTCCGAACGGTGAACCCGATCACTCGACTCTATGTATCGGTGACGATGGATTTGCATGGAAAATATCGATCGGTTAGGTGAGAAAATTTGATGAGCTTTAGATTTGGCTTTTAGAATCATTCTTAAAATGGTTTAAGACCCCCAAGGTGAAAATTTACACCTCAATTTCTTCATTTTGTACCACCCAAAAAAAGCAAAAGAAAAATCGCCTCTTCCCTCTGGGGATTTTGGATATTCAGCCTTGTTTGTTGAATACTTTTCTTTACTTTAAAATACTCTATTGAAATAAGTGGTTGGCTTTGGCTTATGCGTAGTTTCTGGGCATTTTCCAGGAATTTCGGGGAAACCCGGGTATCTTGAATGGGTCATCACACTTTGAAGGCTGATAACTTCGCTCAGAGATGATATTTTGTCTAACTTTTTATATCATTGTACAGAGAATATTTCAGGCTTTCAGATGATACCAAATAGAGCTTGATTGGATGATCCAGTCCAAGAAAATCGGAGCCAACTCTGAGCAAAGGGGGCCTAACCGACTCGGCTGTCGTGTCGCCTTGTTTTCATGGGAATGAAAAAACCAATCAAGCTTTATCTGGTATCATTTAAAAGCCTGAAATATCCTCTGTACAATGATATAAAAAGCTAGCAAAAATATAATTTCTAGACAAAGTTATAGGTCTTTAAAGCTTGACGAGCCGTTCAAAATACCCGGAAACTACGCAAGAGCCGAAAAATTCCAGTAAGTAAATGACTGGCGGTATGTTCTTTGTAATCGCGTAGTCACTTGCCATCTGGCAAACCGTCGTGGTATGGAATCCCTTTTGGAATCAGTATGCCACAAGTGACATTGACAACTGCAGAGTTGACAAGAAGAAGGAGTGCTGAGCTGCTGAGCCATGGTTCGCCGTCTTTGGCGTCTAAGCCCAAATTTCTGGGGCCAATTCTTGCCTAAATTTGGCTATATTTTTACTAGAAAATCGACATTCTCTTAAACTAAAACCATTTGAAATAAACAAGGTTCGAAACTAACCGAAAAAAGCTGATTTCAGCGAATTCCTCCGCTCTGACACTGGTCGTCTCTTGGGCACACCGGTGGCCGGTACTTATTTCTATGTAAGTTTCAACACTAATAAAGAAAATGATATTCAATTTAGATCACGAACGTCTAAATCTACTCAAAACAAAAAAAAAATCACTTTCACATCTTTTGATTCGATTCAATCAATGATTCAATAAATTTTTCTCAAAAAAGTTTTCTTTATCTTTATCTTCTAATGGATTTCACATTGGACAAGTGTATCGATGAGAAAGAGGAGGAGGAAGAGGAAGAAGAAGAGGAAGAGAAAGAGGAAGAGAAAGAGGAAGAAGAGGAAGAGAAAGAGAAAGAGAAAGAAAGAGGAAGAGAAAGACTACTTCTGAAAGAGAAATGTATCCATTTCAGGGATTTTAGCGGTTAGCGGTTCCGATTTAGTTCCTTTATAGTTCCTATCTAGTTCCTATCTAGTTCCTATCTAATAGGTTGATGCATAAGTCTTTTTGTTCCTTTTCGTAGTTGTAGTTGCCTGTAGGTGTCTGTAGGCGCTTGTAGGCGCTTGTAGTTGCATGTAGGTGCCTGTAGGCGCCTTTAGGTGCCTGTAGGTGTCTGTAGGTGTCTGTAGGCGCTTGTAGGCGCTTGTATTAGGTTGATGCATAAGTCTTTTCGTTCCTTTTCGTCTGCCGTTTGAAGCCAACAAATGCACGAATTAAACTACGGTTGATTTCATTAGAAAAAGCAATTATTTTTCTGCAAAATAACATTAAAACGGGTTTAAAAATATTTAATGCCTGGATTTTCTTGAGAGTATGAAGTCGGGTAGTCAAAAGGGGCTAACTCGATGATGCGGTTTAGACACCTTAGCTAAAGATAGCTAAAGAAAACCTATCTTCGTGTCAATAGATAAAAGATAGAGAAAAAAAACGTTTGATATTTCGCCAAAATTTCAGAGAAATTCATTCAGCCAATTTTTCCGTAGAGTTTTTTATAGATTTTTACGAAAAAGGCGTTTTTCACTCTCGAATTTGCTTGAAAGTGAACCGAAATTCATTTAAAAAGATGCAAATTCAACAAAAAAACACTTTTTTTTATAGAGCAAACTATAGATTAATTCGTGAATTTGTTACTTTTTAACAGAAGTACGAAAAAAACGAAAAGACTTATGCATCAACCTAATAGTTCCTATCTAGTTCCTATCTAGCTCCTATCTAGTTCCTATCTAGTTCCTTATAGTTCCTATTTAGCAATTCCATTTTCCTAAATATTCATTTTTGCAAAAAAAAACAATTCAAATCTGAAGTTTTTAAGGAGAAAAATTTCTGTTTTCTTTTAAATACCCAATTCTTTTTTTTTGTAGTAAACATTTCTTTCATAAATTTTCAATTTCAAGATAGCCTGAAAACAGTGTCCATTTTGCGAGGCTAACCCCCCGTTTTTTTGGCCGCGTTTTCTTTTTCTGTTTACGGAGCTAAGCCGTTTTGGGCTTGTCAATGAATTTCTTTGACAACATTTGCCAATTGATAAATTCTAGCGTTTTGAAACTTCTCATATTGTATATTTATGCTTTATCTTTGTAATCAAGTTCATATCAATTTCTGATTTGATTATCGTCTTTTCTCTGATAGTAGTGCACCCTGAGCGTCGCGTAAATTGCTCGAAATCTCGAGAACCGCTTATCAGAACCTATCGATGTGGGGTCGGAAAATGTAGCTGACGATGAGATCTAGTGGGGGATTTGAGTGTTGAGCTTCTGGGAAAAGCTTGGAAACCGTAAAATAGTGATCAACTCGGCTCGGTGGGATGACGACTATTAGAGAACGCAATCATGGCGTTGCATCGACTGGGGCTTTCGACAATTGCAATTTCTCAAAATTTGGGAGTTTCTACGCGGCTCGTGAACAAGACGATTAAACGCTTCTTGGAATTGGGAACAAATGCTGGTAGAGCTGGTCGAGGAAAACGTTCTGCTGTGATTCAGGCCAACATCAAAAAAGGGTGAGAGAGGTTGTGTCGTAATCCGGAACGATCAGTCCAACTCATCTCACGCCAAATGGGAATTTCTGAGACTGGAAGCTAAGGCGTGTGCTAAGCCACATCGAACAGTTGTCTCGTTAAAGAAAGCGCTCCTTAAAGCATGGAACGAGCTTGACGAAGGGGCAGCTTTAGCTGTGATCTATATTTTGTTATTTTATATCTTTAGCTTTTTGCTGTGATTCAGTCCAACATCCAAAAAAGTGCGGTTGCGTTGTAACTCGGAACGATCAGTCCGGCTGATATCACACCAAATGGAAATTTCTGAGCCATCCTTGCGCCGAATTGTGCAGCGCAAACTCAAGATTAAAGCTTTTAAAAGAACAAATGTCAAGGATGCTGACTGAGCGACCGACTGGGCTCCTTAAAGTATGTGACGAGCTTGATGTTGAGCTACTTAGCACAGTTGACGCCTTCCACCCACGTTTTGAAGCGTGCTTCGCCGCTGACGGAGGAATTTGTTTTTGTTGTTTTTGTTGTTGTTAGGACTGACTGATTCAAATTGGTTCTATAATGTCTATAGACTTATCGGTCAACCTAATGACAAGTGGATGCGACCAAGATTGTTTCAAACTGATTTTGAGTTCAGGAATTGTAAGCCAAGATAGAAGTCAGGTCCAAGACAGAAGTCAGGTCCAGATCAGGCTTTTCTTCTGGTTCAAGTTCTTCTTAGAAATAAGGTAGTAAAATCAGGTCGTCACTTGGTTTCAGCCTGGCCTAGCATACAAATCCTAGTCCTTAGTATAAGATTTTTGTCTTTGGTTCTCTTGGCTCTTGTCTTTGGTTCTCCTCTTGACCACAAATCAGTATGTTGTTTTCCAATCACCATTCACGAGTTTTTCCGTTTGATTTGTTGGTGAAATTTTTTGTGATTTGAATCTCGAGAAAAGCCTTTTCACAAACGAAAGGTGAGAAGTGATAGAGGGCAAAGAAGTGATGGGGAAAGGGGTGAAGAAAGGGGTGAAGAAGAGGTGGAAGAGGCACATTGACAATTTTGACGGCGCCCACCCCTTTCCTTTCTTTTTCTGGTAAATAGTTGCATAGAATCAATCAGAAAAGAAAAAGTTACCGAAAAAATACGACCAATCTGCACTAAAGACTGAGCTCGAATTTCAGAGAAGAATTTCTTCAGAATTCTTCCTTTTTCTTCAAGAATTCTTCCTTCCAATCGTTTTCTCTCTGTTTTCATAGTTTTGAATTACTTTTTTTCAATTCGATTTTCAAATTTTAAACCTTTAAAAGATTGTGCGAGAGTTTTCTTCTTTAAAATATGGAATTTATGAAATTTAGAAGTAAAAGAAGTTATTTAGAAGTAAAAGAAGTTATTTAGAAGTAAACGAAGTAATTTAGAAGTAAAAGAAGTTATTTAGAAGGAAAAGAAGTAATTGAAGTAAAGAAGTCATGAAGTAAAATTTAGAAGTAACAGAAGTTATTTAGAAGGAACAGAAGTTATTTAGAAGTAAAAGAAGTAATTTAGAAGTAACAGAAGTTATTTAGAAGTAAAAGAAGTAATTTAGAAGTAAAAGAAGTTATTTAGAAGTAAAAGAAGTAATTTAGAAGTAACAAAAGTTATTTAGAAGTAACAGAAGTCACTTAGAAGCTAAAATATTAATGTTTCTCAAGCATTGCTTAATTTCAGTACTTGTTTACAGTATTTTTAGGTATTCTGACTAAACAGAATACTTAATTTCAGTACTTGTTAAGATTCTTTAAAGTTAATATTCAATTTAAGATTCTTTAAAGATATCCAATCTTATCAGCTGAATATTTTCCTTGTTTTAGTGTAAGTTTAAACCAAGAAATCGTTTCAGTTTTGAAAATGGAAAGGAAAACCTCGAGAATGTCGCTGTTGAGCTCATATTCTTCATTTCCGACAATGCGACCAGCTATTGCTAAATTCAACGATTTCATTGCCAGAGATTCACATAAAGAACCGGTAACGAGGAAAAGTATTCGATACAATAGTCTCAGGTACAGTAATTACAGTACTACTTGAAGAAAGTATTAATCTTTAGAAGTTACTTGGCTGGAACAGTGGTCGAGGAGTTGGATCCTGATGAAGACGATGATGAAATCCGGGTTTGTCATTGGTTGGATGAAACTTGATTGTCGAACTTGATTGTCGAGATTTTCGAATGAAAGTGTTTAAACGTTTTCTAAAAAGTGCTCTCTAAAAGCTATCGTAATGTTGCTGTGTCTCAAATAAGGATAAACGTTACCCCTATCAAAATTGAGTCTATCAAAGATAGTCTATCAAAGTTGAGTCTATCAAAAATTGAGCAAAATTTTTTTCCCCCACCTTTTCCCTCTCCTTCCCCCCCCCTTTTTCTCTTCTTTTCTTCAAATCTATCAAAGATAGTCTATCAAAGATTGAGCCCATCAAAGATTGAGTCTATCAAAGATTGAGTCTATCAAAGATTGAGTCTATCAAAATTGAGTCTATCAAAGATTGAGTCTATCAAAGATTGAGTCTATCAAAATTGAGTCTATCAAAGATTGAGTCTATCAAAGATTGAGCCCATCAAAGATTGAGTCTATCAAAATTGAGTCTATCAAAGATTGAGTCTATCAAAGATAGTCTATCAAAGATTGAGCCCATCAAAGATTGAGTCTATCAAAGATTGAGTCTATCAAAGATTGAGTCTATCAAAATTCGTATTCAGTCGCAAATTTAGCTAAGGGCTCTTAAACTGACGTCTTAAATGGGAAGAGTGTCTTAAACTTATCCGATTTGATCGTTTTATAGGTCATTCGAAATCTCAAATAAGGATAAACGTTTACCCTAGTTAGGGCAAAACCGGTAATACAAATCTCGTTGTCTGATCAGGATCAAATGTTATATGAGAAGCTATGGGTATTCCAACGATACCCCATAAAAAGTTATGGGGATCCCGACGATACCCGATGCTTTTTCCTCTTGAAGATTAATGATTAAACAAGTCTAGTCCAGAGCTGATACTTCCATTTCTCATTACTCTTCCCTCAAATATTCATCCTTTTTCTGCTCAATTTTTCTTTCAGATATTCCTCGATGAATTTCCTTTCTTTTCCCTCCAGGAGATCCGTTCTAATTAGTCTTTTCTTTCTTTTCTTTTCCTTTTCCTTTCTCCTTTTTCTTTTTCCTTTCTCCTTTTTCTTTTTCCTTTTCCTTTTCCTTTTTTTTTTTTCTTTTTCCTTTTTATCTACTGCATATCTGGGGATAACATTTTCCTTTACTTGCCAAAAATAAACTTTACATTACGCAACTTTTACTTTCAATAATTTGCTCTAAACATTGATTTTTCTACATAAGATTTCTTTATTTTGAAATTTCTCTTTCCATTTTTATCCAATTATGCTAATTTGTAGCCGAATAAAACCCCATTTTCTTCAAGAGATTCTCATTTTTTTTTGGCTATGGAAGAACAAGATTTGGAAGAGGTTTGTTTTATGGAAAACTTTAATATTAGAAAGTTTATTAAAGTAGTAGCTAAGTTTAATTAAAATAGTAGTTTCTAACAGTACAACAAAAAAAAAACAAGCTTGTCGATTCATCAACTTTCAACGTTTTTTCAGCCGTTTTACTGAGGTGTCTCCAAAATTTCAAGAAAATCAACTTTATTTGCTTTTCTTGTATGAAAACCTATGCTGAAACCATGTTTTTCGGAATCAGCGTTAAAAATTACCCTAAAATGCACTAAAATCGTTTTGTTTAGGAAAATTTTTTGAAAAAAACTGACTTGACCCGGAATCGAACCCTCGACCCTCGGATTACCATTACGACAGATTTGTCGGACGTTGAACCGAAGTCATTAAAAGCCATTAAAAGCCATTAAAAGCCATCAAAAGCCATTAAAAGCCATTAAAAGTCATTAAAACCCATTAAAACCAATTAAAATCAATTAAAACCCATTCAAACCCATTAAAACCCATTAAAACCCATTAAAACCCATTCAAACCCATTCAAACCCATTCAAACCCATTCAAACCCATTCAAACCCATTAAAACCCATTAAAACCCAAGGTGAATATATTGTTTGCTTCAAAATGATTTGATGAAAAGATTCTAGTCCTTGGTTTTGTAATTTTTTTAAACTCAACCTAATGGCCGTTTCAAGGAGAGGTTTTCTTTTGTAAATTCCGACATGCAATCAAAAGATTTGTTGATAAAATGCAGCGAAAGTATCTTTGTCTGTAGCAATGATGCTAAAAGATAAGACATTATTTTTCTCATGTTGTTGAAATTTGGAAATTTCTCAAAATCGATGCTTCATTAGGGAAAGGGGACCACTGATGCATTTTCAATACCTTTTTTTTCTTCATTTCTTCAAGAATCTTTCTCGTTTTTGTTCTTGAACTAGATCCTTTTTAACTAGATCCTTTTTAACTAGGTCCTTTTTAACTAGATCCTTTTTAACTAGGTCCTTTTTAACTAGGTCCTTTTTAACTAGGTCCTTTTTAACTAGGTCCTTTTTAACTAGATCCTTTTTAACTAGGTCCTTTTTAACTAGGTCCTTTTTAACTAGGTCCTTTTTAACTAAAAAGGGCTTTTAAATCAAGAACTAGTCTTGTTTTTCTATAATCAAAAACTAGTCTATTATATTGTTTTCTATAATCAAAAACTAGTCTATTTTATTGTTTTATTATGTGCCTTTTGAAAGCTGATACATTTTTGAGTTAAACATGAGAATCATAAGAATCATAAAAAAGAAATGGGGGTTTAAAAGCGATCCGATTGCTAGGAACGTCGGAATTTTTGATCTTAAGTGTCAGGAAAAGGCCTTTCAATTGTTAAATATAGATCTTGAAGGGTAAAACATGCACAATTTGTCTCAACAAATAACATCTTGATGACAAATCCTTTTTTCTTTTCTTTCTTCGAGTGTAGGTAGCGATTATCGGGTTGTTCTCTGGAACAAAAACACGAAAATGGATAGCCTTATTCTTTTCTGGGAGTAAACGAAGCTGACAGCCTACTCAAGTAAGATATTGTTTGTTTTTAATATATAAACCTTGCGTTAAAGTAATTTTTTAAGTAAGTTTTCTTAATAGTAAGTTTTAAAGACGATCAAATAGATAATTCCGACTAAAAACTAGACTTGCTTAATGAGAAAGAACAAAAAAATCGGGCGCTTCTTCAGGCTTCAAACTTCAGGCGCTTGATCTAGCCAGCAGCGTATCGGATTTAAATAAACTTTGTTTTATTTAAAAGCCAAGATTTTAAGCTATCCAATGATATCTATCACTTAGATTTTTCTTTTGAAAAAGTGGGCCAAAAACCTTATCGGAATCGACGAGACAATTCTGATTTATTCAGAGTAACTCTCGCCGGAGAACCGACGAATTTAACCCCGGATCCAGTATACTGGACTGCATACTGCAGTATCACACAAAGGTCAACCGTATCCAAAGGCTCAGATTCAACTACGAGCTTTTTAACCGCAGCAATAATGACATACACTTTGAGAGCTGGAATTACCGCGGTTGCTGTTCCTCGTTATCTCGTTAAATCTCGATAAGGTTTTTGGTCCACTTTTTCAAAAGAAAAATCTAAGTGATAGGTACCATTAAATAGCTTAAAATCTTGGCTTTTAAATAAAACAAAGTTTATTTAAATCTGATACTCTGCTGACGAGTTGAGACGTCTGAAGTTGTGCGACCCATTTGTCTCGTTAATTCTTGTTAAGCAAGTCTAATAAAAACTAATAAAGTTGAATTAATAAAATAAAATAATAATAATAAAATAAAATAATAATAAAATAATAATAATAATAAATTAATAAAATCAAATCAAACTATTCCACTCTTAGGTCAAACTATTCAAAAAGTAAAGGCTTTTTTTTTGAAAGAAGATTAATAATATAAATACTTTATTCAGAAAGAAATAAAGTGCGAAAACGACATGAAAAATGTACTAGATAAAAGATGAAAAAGTCACTTAAAATGCAACGAAATAGCCCTTTTAAAATCAGACACGGTGGAGAACAAATGCAACTTGTCGGGAAGGGCATTCCAAACTTTAGTCACACGATTTACGAAAAAAGCTCTAGCTCTAGAGGCTCTAGAGGATTTAGAGAAGCTCTAGAGGATTTAGAGAAGTTTCAAAAGTTTTTCTTTTAAAGAGTTTTTTTTTATAATCTCAAGTCTCTTAATTAGTTTTTTTCATGACTTCAAATCGATTTCTCATTTTTTTTCCTTTATTTTTTCCCGTGAACAGGTGGAAATCTCAAGATAATCCCTCAAATCTCAGAATTTCACAATGAGATTATCGCTTCTTGCAATTGAAAAAGATTTCTTTTGAATATCAAATATACAAAGCTATATCTATATTTAAATCAATATTTAAATCTATATTTAAATCAATATTTGAATCTATATTTGAATCTATATTTAAATCTATATTTGAATCAATAATTAAATCAATATTTAACCAATATTGAAACCAATATTTAACCAATATTTAAATCAATATTAAAATCAATATTTAACCAATATTTAAACCAATATTTAATCAATATTTGAATCTATATTTGAATCAATATTTAAATCTATATTTGAATCTATATTTGAATCTATATTTGAATCAATATTTAAATCTATATTTGAATCTATATTTGAATCTATATTTGAATCTATATAATAATAATACTTTATTCAAACGATAAAGTGAAAGAAATCATAGAGAAATGCACAGTGATACTTAATCAGACAATACATACTGAAATCAATAAGCCAATTACTTACGGCAAAGAGCCACTAGATCTAAAGCATCGATACGTTTCTTGAATATGAAAAGCGACTGAATTTCTCGTATGTCGTTTGGGAGCAAGTTCCATAATCTAGCGGCTCTAACGGGAAATGAATTTGATAAAGAGGCATTGGAAGCAAAGGGAATTTGCAAAAGGAATGAGCCACTTCTGGGCCCTGACCGCGGTTTAAATTTGAAAAAGTCTATAAACAAAGGGCTAATCTGTTTACAACGGAGGATTTCTATATTTGAATCAATATTTAAATCTATATTTAAATCAATATTTAAACCAATATTTAACCAATATTTAAATCAATATTTAACCAATATTTAATCAATATTTGAATCCATATTTAAACCAATATTTAAACCAATATTTAATCAATATTTGGGAGTGGAACAAATGCGACCTTTTTTTGCGCACTCGGACATTTGCGCACATTTTTTTCCGCACTTAGCCCATTAGCGCACCTTTTTTCGCGTTTTAAAAAAGCTCTAAAAAGCTAATATTAACCAATTTCTATTCCAAAAGTTCTTTTTCTAGGTAATTTTAGGGCGTAGAATCGAAATTTTGACATATCATTGGTAAGTAATTGGCTTATTGATTTCAGTATGTATTGTATGATTAAGTATCACTGTGCATTTCTCTATGATTTCTTTCACTTTATCGTTTGAATAAAGTATTATTATTATTATTATTATTATTATATCAGAGCGTGTGGAAGCGAACGGACGGAGTTATACATTGGGAAATCGGGACGGGAAAAATCGAAAATTTTCTGTAATTTGATCCACCCGTTTTACAATTCAAATTGGTTTCACAAGCTCTGATACGTCAAAATTTGAGAGTGTCGAATTCAAATTTTGCTATGACAGAGCGTGTGGAACCAATTTGAAAGACAAAACGGCTAGATCAAATTACAGAAAATTGTTGCTTTTTCTCTTTGTATAACTCCGTCCGTTTGTTTCCACTCGCTCTGTTATGTCAAAATTTCGATTCTACGCCCTAAAATTACCTAGAAACCTAGAAAAAAACTTTTGGAATAGAAATTGGTTAATATTAGCTTTTTAGAGTTTTTTTAAAACGCGAAAAAAGGTGCGCTAATGGGCAAGGTGCGGAAAAAAAGGTGCGCAAATGTCCGGGTGCGCAAATGTCCCACTCCCCTATATTTCATCCATATTTAATCCATATTTAAATCCATATTTGAATATTCAGCTAATGCCTAAAGATCAATTGGCTCGCAAATATTTCGCAACCCCACGCGGAAGAGGGGCAAAAAATGCACGCAGAGATGTCTGTTTTAAGTTTTTTTCTCAGGAAATTAGCCAATTTTCCGAATGCAAAACAAAATTTTCAAAACAAAACTCGTGTTGTTTACTTTTTAAAATATAGTACAAACGAACTTCGATTGAACGAACACTATTTTTCGTCCCAACAAAGGGTTTTGCCTTTAAAGGCGGGGCGGTGGAGATAGCGGCCGGGCCGGTTTATTTGAAATAGATTAAACATTTCCTTTTTCAAAACTTGTCACGACTCGCGGCCATCCTGTATATTTAAGTCAAAAACCTGCAAAAGTAAGACAAATTCGGAGAGATGTCGACTTCGGAGTATTCCAAAATTAAAAATAAAAGTCAAAACATGCTAGCCAGGTGTTTTTTGTTGTTTTTATAATAAAGCGTAATGTTTTATAAAAGAAAAACATAGGGTTACCGTAGAAAATTTTTGTTCAAGACTCTGTTCAAGACCTCAAGACTCTGTTCAAGACCTCAAGACTCTGTTCAAGACCTCAAGAATCTGTTCAAGACTTCAAGACTCTGTTCAAGACTTCAAGACTCTGTTCAAGACCTCAAGACTCTGTTCAAGACCTCAAGACTCTGTTCAAGACCTCAAGACTCTGTTCAAGACTTCAAGAATCTGTTCAAGACCTCAAGACTCTGTTCAAGACCTCAAGACTCTGTTCAAGACCTCAAGACTCTGTTCAAGACTTCAAGACTCTCTTCAATATCTGCACCGCTCCTTTAAAATCACCTTCAATACAACAAACACTTCGATATAAAGAGCTGTTTGGCTGATTCATTATATCGAAGTTCGACTGTATTTAGATAGTTTTCTTTAAATTTCGTTTGCACTATGACAGCTCTCTTACAGTCGCTCTTGAATCTATTAAACACCGCTAAATCATCTAAAATCTATTATCAATATACATAGCTGTACTTATTTATTAATCTTAAATTTCTAGGAAATGTCTTCAACAATTCCTAGCCCTCATCGTGGCCGTCTCGCCTTGATGACGTCAGTGACAACACCGAAAGGAGTCGTCAAATTAAGTCGAATCGAGTTGGCTAATATGTGAGTTTAACTGGTTTAAGCCAAGTCAAAACAAAAACTCAAACGATTTTAAGTAAGTCGTTTGCTTTTCCGCGGTTGAAAATAGAGCAGAAAGATCTTTTAAATATCAAACCTCTTTTGAATATACAAATCTATATCTACAGTGTGACGACGTATAGCGAGAACTTTTTCGAAAAGTAGCTGGAAAATCTGCAATTTATTTCAAAAGTGTTAAGTGTTATATAGAGAATTGTAGCCCTTAATCTTGGCTACATTTATCTACCAAACACTTCCCGATTCGACTTATACAACTCATTTTACAAGCTGTCAAATGAGCCCAGGTCGGCTCGAAAGAGCTCTCCGGTGAATCTATCATTTATACAACTTTTCAGAAAAGTAGCTAGGAAATGTTTAATTTATTTCAAAAGTGTTAAGTGTTATATAGAGAATTGTAGCCCTTAATCTTGGCTACATTTATCTAATAAAAGTTTCCCGATTGGTCGTATACAACTCATTTAACAAGCGCTTGAATGAGCGCTAATCGACATCGCTTCCAATCTCTGATTTAAATTAAACATTTCCTAGCTACTTTTCCAAAACTTGTCGCTACTCGCGGTCATTCTGTGTATTTAAGTATTAAACCTTCAAAAGTAAGAAAAAAATGTACTGTAGAATGAATATAAAATCTTTGTAACTGTTTTGAAGAGTACCTCGAAGAGTAATTGACTTACTATTGACTTCAAAGCCATTAAAGGGGGGGTATTAATCGCGGCCGGGTGACGATAAAAATTTTTTTACGGCAACCACCTGTTTTTTTATTTTAATATCGCTGATTTTATTATAAAAAGAATAAAAATCATCCGGCTAGAGTGATTTGATGGGTTTACAAATTTTTGGAGACACTGCAAGGCTTGGAGAAAAGCAAGATCGTCACTCATCAGACACCTCAGCTAAAAGGCACCTATTTGAGAAAACTAAAACCACAAGCGACCACAAATGGAAAAAAGATCTAATTGTGTCAAGCAAAGCGCTGAGGACGTCCTACGATGGAGGAGATCCAGTCACTTCTGGTGAAGATGCGCGGGAAATTGATAAGATAGGAGGCCGATTTGAGGAACTGCTGTACTCGAGCGAAAATGAAAGTGAGCAAGAGGAAGAATTATAGATTACCAAATCTATTTTTATTGTTTTTTGTGCTTTTTATTTTGTTTTTAAATTTATCTGCAATTAAAACTCAATCGATCTAGACTGTGCTGAGGTGTCTGATGAGTGACGATCTTGTTTTTCTCCAAGCCACCTCCCCCAGTTTTTTTCCCCCCTTTTTTTCTCAAGTGTCTCCAAAAATTTGTAAACCCATCAAATCACTCTAGCCGGGTGATTTTTATTCTTTTTATAATAAAATCAGCGATATTAAAATAAAAAAACAGGTGGTTGCCGTAAAAAAATTTTTATCGTCACCCGGCCGCGATTAATACCCCCCCTTTAAATTAAACCATTATGGTGATTAATAGGAATTAGTAAACTTCTGCGAGTTACTTTCCAAAGATATCAATGACTACAATGACTCAAAATGTTAAAAAAGGAACAAAAGTAAAGTATAATAATTTTTTGATATCTTTTTATGTGTTACGTCAAGTGTTCTTTTCTAAATCCCAATGAACTTGTTGCTTTCTTCCGCATTCTCTTTACCCCCAATAAATCGTCTCCCGTTTTTACTTGTTTTACATTACAGCTTTTCTTTCTTACAGCTTTCCTTTACTCTTCCTCCAAATCATCTTCTTTTCTTTTCTTTTCTTTTTCTAATTTCTCCTAAAATTCCCAATCATTTAACCTCGTTGTTCCAATCTCAAAAAACAAATCAAACTCTTTCCTGCAAACTCATGTTCGTCGATTTGTCTCTCTTGGAAAGCCGGAAAAGAAGAAGAAAAGGAAGAAGAAAAGAAGGAAGAAAAGGAAGAAGAAAAGAAGAAGAAAGGGAAGAAGAAAAGAAGAAGAAAAAGAAGAAGAAAAAGAAAGAAGAAAAAGAAGAAGAAAAAGAAGAAGAAAAGAAGAAGAAAAGAAGGAAGAAAAGGAAAAAGAAAAGCAAGAAGAAAAGAAAGAAAAAAAGAAGAAGCCGGAAATTCGAATTGGGACGCTTTTTACCTTTAAATAGTTCGATTTCATATCTTAAAGAATTTTCACCAAGTTAGCTCTTGTTTTTATAAATTTTATATTGTAAAGCTCTGCTAGAATTGCTAGATTGTCCATTTAGAATTGCTAGATTGTCCATTTTTCTATACCTAGCTTTGAATTTTTATAAGATTTAAAAGCTCTCCTGAATTTGAAGCTTAAAAACTTTTCATTTTCACTATTCTCTATTTATTTTCCTTTGCACAAGAGCTCATTTCGGAAATCAAAGTGGTAGTTGCACTAGTTGCACTAGTTATACTAGTTGCTTATACACATTAATGCACTAGTTGTTGGGGATCAAAGGGGAACCAAGAAAAGGAAATGCTAAATGAAAATGCTAAATGAAAATGCGAAATGCCCTCAACCTATTCTCAAACTTTCAATGGGTATGATGTTGCAGTTTCTTCAGTGAACTGTGACCCTGAATGAGAGCTCCTAGTGGGCCATTCTTGGTAAGCAGAACTGGTGCTGTGGGATGAACCAAACGTCGGGTTAAAGTGCCTAAGTGTCCACTCATGAGACCCCATAAAAGGCGTTAGTTGATATACAGCAGTTGACATTTGACAGCAGGACGGTGACCATGGAAGTCGGTACCCGCTAAGGAGGGTGCAACAACTCACCTGCCGAATCAACTAGCCCTGAAAATGGATGGCGCTTGAGCGGACCACTTATACCCGACCGTTGCCGACTTGAGCGCAATGCCCGCATGATCGCAACGAGTAAGAGGGTCGCGGTGGTTTGAAGTGAGTCCTAGTGGACCTAGTGGGCCATTTTTGATAAGTTTGATGTAGTTGTCAGCTGTAAATACTTTAAATGATTTCAATTAGTCAAAAATTGCTTTTTCTAGTCAAAAACTAAAGTCACAAATGTCATTTTCTAGCAATTTGATGTAAGTTAAAGTTAAAAGTTAAAGTGATCGTCGAATCTTGAAAATCTTTTTGCTGTCACGTGCTCTAAATACTTATTCCACACAATCGATGCAGTGGTCGTGAGAAAAGAAGAAAATGAGGGAAAAGAGAAGAGAAAAGAGAGTAGTTAACGGACTTTAGAAAAGAATTCCTAAAAGGGAAAGAGAGCCATGAGGAAAAAGAAGCAAAAGAGGAGACATAGGACCCGAGGAAATCACAGGAAAAGGACCCCCTAGGGGCAGGGAATAAGATAAAGAATAAGGAGAGGAAAAAAGAATCCCAACAAAAATCTATTTCTTCTTGAACTTGTTGATGTTTTGCTAAAAATCCTAGTTGATTTTTCTGGAAACATTTATCGTTCATTCTTTTTTGTTGGTTCTTTAAAAACTTTGCAACTCAGTTTATTTATTATTGGCCCAAAAACTCGCAGGACGGGGGCTTTTGTGCTGAATGTTTTGGGGCCTGTCTAGCCGTCGTAGTGGCGCAGTCAGCAGGGCGCTTGGCCCACACGATCCGGGTTCGACTCCCCGTAAAGCCGCCTCAGTTTTGGATTTTGATTTTAAATGGCACAACTACAATCTATTGTTTTCTAAAGAAGTTTTAGCTTTATTGGTCGAAACACGGTAGTTGAGAAAATGCCCGTACGGACGGACGGATGGGCGGGCGGACAGACGAACAGACAAACAGACAAACCGGCAGACGGACATACAAACGGGCAGACGGACAGACAGACAGACATACAAAACGGGCAGAGGGACAGACGGATAGATACACAGACAGATAGCTAAACGGACAAACGGACAAACGGACGAACGGGCGGACGGGCGGACAGACGGACAGATAGACGAACGGACAGCTGGACAGACATACAGACGGGCAGACGGCCAGACATACAGACAGACAGACAAACGGGCAGAGGGACAGACGGATAGACAGGCAGACAGACAAACGGACGGGCAGACAGACAGACAGACAGACAAGCGGGCAGACGGGCAGACAAGCGGACGGACAGACAAACGGACAGACAAACGGACAGACAATGCTCTTTTGTATATAGTAAATTCCTGTAGTCATTCAAGCAGCTTATTCTATCTAGAAAATCAATTTTCAAGTTATTTTCTTTATCTTTATCGATTTTCAAGTTATTTTCTTTTCTTAGTCAATGATAGAAATTTCTCGCTTTTTTTCCACAGCAAATCCTCAATTCTAACGTAATTTCAAATCTCTCACAAGGAAAAGAGCATCGAGAACAAAACCTTTCCCGAAGTCATCAATTTTCCGGCAAATTGATGGGAATTTCGATTCAACAATCGGCTTTATAGGAAAGCAATTTCACTTACAAACCTAAAATCGGCTAAACGATCAGCTAAACGGTGTTTTCCCCTAAATAACTTTAGAGATTTTCAACGTTTTTGTCTTAATTAATTGAGAAAGATTCGATTTCGATGAATCTTTTCAAAGAAAGAATCGAATCAGCAAATCAATAAATATGTTTCAAAAGATTTAAAGCATCAACGTTTCCTTTTTGCTCATTCAGATCATTCCCTTTCCCTTTTGTAGTCATTTTCTCATGGTTTTTCTGTTTCCCGGGGCAATTCTCTCTTTTCCAGACTTTTCCACCTAAAAAAAACCCAATTATACCAAAAAGACCTCAAACGAGGCTTTTACCCAAAAGAAGAATCGAAACCGAGAGAAATTTTTGCAGCAAAATATATTTCACAAGTTTAAATGTTAGTAGTTTTGTTTCTTTGTTCTTGAAAATCAACTAGCCACTTTTTAAAGCTCTGAAAACTTTGATTTGAGATTCTCAAGCTTTTTCCCAAGCTTTCAACTTGTCTAAATTCTCTTAAAGCTGATTCCTTTAAAGCTGATTCTTTTAAAGCTGATTCTTTTAAAGCTGATTCCTTTAAAGCTGATTTGTTTAAAGCTGATTCTTTTAGAGCTG